AGTTGTTAAATAAAAGTTTTATTACTTTTATTAAATAAAATATATTTCGGTTTAATGTTTCGACAACAACAAAAAAACACAGTAGCAAAACATAGCCAATAAAAAAATGGTAAATGTTATATAATAAATGTTAAATACATATAATATGTACTGTATGTGTGTCTGTAATTAAATATCGGAAACCATATACTTTAGTCAATTTAATTTGACATTTGTGTTGTTGTTGTTGTTGTTGTGTTATGTCTCATACATTTTGAATTACATTATGATTTAATTACATATGATTTACGACCAAAATTTTTAATTAAAATGTCTGCAGAAAAAAATAAGATATTTTCTATGAAGGAATTTGTGATAATAAATGACAGTTTTTTAAGGGTCTCTCTCTCTCTCTCTTTCATTAATTCTTTTATAACCCATAGTATATATATATATATATATATATATATGTCTGCAAAGTCTGGACAGTTGGGCAATGGGATGATGAGACACAAAGAGATTGAAACAGACAGCACACATACACACAGGGAGAGAGAGAGAGAGAGATAGGACAGGGAGCCTAACATATCGTATAGCCAGTCTAACTACTATTACTACTGGTTAAATAAAATGTGAAATAAAGACACAGAAAAATATTGTGTTTGAGTCTTAACTTTCAATAATGATATCTTTTTTTTTAAAAAAAACCCGATTTTTTGCTGCCGTTGTAATCGTTTGAGAAAAAGAGATAACGTTTTATTGGGATTTGAATTCTTAACAAAAAAATAAATAAATAAAACTAAAATCTTATTATTATTATGTCGTTTCAAATGGATTTTCAGCACTTATATATATATATAAAGTTATAATAATAATAATAAAAACAAAAAAACTCAGTGAGAGGGGTCACCGAAACGGTCGGGTGTATAGTATTGTATATATTTGTTTTGTATTTAAGGTTGTAATGGCAAAAAAACATACATAAACTTTATATAACAGTCTTAGCCCTCCAAAAAGTCAAATCTTTATTTATTTATTTTTTGTTGAGTTATAATAACTGTGAAGAAGTTTTCTGATCCACTTATGTATCACCACTTGTTTGCAATGATAGCTAAACAGACAACAATCATAGAGAGAGAGAGAGAGAGAGAGAGAGAGAGAGAGTAAAAAAAGAGAGTTTGAATTTTCCACGTAATGAGACTTTAAACTATAGGTGTCATAAAAACCTTAGTTTTCTGACTAAAAATACGCCAATAAATCAATTGTTAATAAAATCGACGATTACTTTATTCCCTGACTTTTTGGAGGTTTGAAATTGCATTAGATTTTTGAAACGAAACTTTTATTAGCCATTAGTCTTGAAAGTCGGAAAATTTTTAGCTAAATCTTTATTGTTTTACGATTGCCAGTCATAGTATATACAATATATACAATTTACACTAACATTATTATACTGTAATAATAACAATAAAGACAGCATTAAATGCAAATATAATAAATATATAATATTGTAATAATAATAATATATATAATGGGTTGAAGAGTTGCAAATTGCAAACTAACCATTTGGATAGTTAATCACTTTTTCACACATTAATTATATAAATCATTGATTAGAAATGTTAAAAATTTATAATAAACTTTAATTTCAAGTGATAGAAGAGAGAGAGAGAGAGAGAGAGAGAGAGAGAGAGAGAGAGAGAGAGAGAGAGAATAAAAAATAATAAAATTTTTCTGTCGGTATTAAAGTCTCTTTGATGTCTCAAAAATAATTTTTTTAATATAATATTTTTTTCATATATATTATTCTGTATTTTTTTATTAAGGTATGCATAACTGAAATCATAATTTTTAGGGCTCTCTCTCTCTCTCTCTCTCTCTCTCTCTTACTTTTTTGTTATCTACTTTAGTTTGTGATTTTTATTTATCACACAAAAAAAATATATGTTTCATTTAATTACCTATCAACTCACTTGTATAATACTGTTTGTAATATTACATATTTTTTTATACGACATACCCTTGACTATTGATATGAAAATTCATTGCCAGTGACTTTTTTTTTATTATTTTCATGGGTTTCATGACTGTCCGACTAATATATACTGAATAACAAGTTATCACTGAAATAAATAACATATATAATACATATATAAAAATACAAGTCAAGGCTTAGGGTTAGGGGACCCGAGGCGAGACCTCATTAAGTTTTTTTATATAAAATAAAATTTGTATAAAATTTTTACATTTAGACATCAACCAAAAAATAGAGATATAAATTTTTGTTTAAAAAATACAAATATATATATATATATATATATATATATATATATATATATATATATATATTGATATAATCTTGATTATTATTATCATATTACTTAAATTCATGTTTTATATGATTTTTATTGAGACATACATTTTTTTAGCTAAAATGTTTTGTCATAATTATTTGAAATATTTATAATTCAGTATATTTATATGTGTGCATTTTAAACATACAACTTATTATTGCCTAAAAAAATGTTAATTAAAAATAAAAATCAATAATAACAACAACAAATTAAATACTGTATTAATAATGATACTCTATATTAATAATAAATTTGCTTTTAAATATGTGTAATTAATTATAATCAACAACAAAATTATTACATATGATTGACATTTGGGAGCAACATTTTGTTGTTGTTGTTAATAACATTATATTAATTAATTATAATGCTAATTAATACTAATGATTTTCTACAAACAAAAAATAATATGTTAATCTCTATCAAAAAATATGTTACACATTTTCAATTAGCTGATTTAAAAAAATGATAAATAATTATTTTTTAAATTTTTTGTTTCCATTAAATATTTATATATAAAATATTGCAAATATAAGGATTATTATAACAGTTCAACAAATAATTGTTTGTTTCATTTTAAAAATGTTATCCAAAAAAACAACTCATTATTATATTAACTCGAGTTAACAAAAATATCTATTATAATATTAATACCCGTATTATGAGAGCACTGGTAGATATAAAAAGAGAGGCTATTGAAGGTCCGGTTCATCATTGAATTGAATTTGAAGCTACTTTTTGTGTGCCATTTAATGTTTTAAATATATATATACAGTATTTTTTCGCTACATTAATCATTTGGGAGACCCTCTCTCATAGGACTCCCTATAGATTGCAAACTTCATAATATAATATACTCTGTACTGTACTTTACATTCAACTTTCATTATTATCATATTATATAACAACAACAACAACAACAATAAATTGCTATACATATTATATGATCTAACTTTGTTATTATGGGTATTGTATTACCTGTTTAAAAGCTAGAGAGAGAGAGAGAGAGAGAGAGAGAGAGAGAGAGAGAGAGAGAGAGAGAGAGAGAGAGAGAGAGAGAGAGAGAGAGAGAGAGAGAGAGAGAGAGAGTTAGGTGAGAGTAGTGGAAAAATTCATTTCATCAATGGATACCAACCTATATTTATAACAATAAAAATATAACCCCTCAGTAAAAAAATATTTAGGCATAACATTAATTTCTCAAAAAAATCATTTGCAATTTTTTTGGGCCCCGTTTTGTTGTTGTTATACTGTTTTGTTAAAATAGCAGATAATTTTTGGTTTTTAATGCCTATCACTAATATATCACACTTGAAATTGATTACCACAAATAGTTACCTCTACTAATAATGTATATTATAAATTAAATTACAAATTACATACAACATATGTTTAGATATACAATATATAAAGTATATATATATATATAAACCACTTGTAGGCATAAGAGTATAACCGATATTAAAAAAATAAATTTACTGATTGTAATCTATTTTTAGTTGAAAATAACACGCTTTTAAAATAATTTGTATCATTACAAACAGTACTGTACAGATAGTATACTGTTTTTTTTTTAAAATTATAAATACATTACAAATAAATTTTTATGTTTTTAAAATGTTTAAATAGCAACAAAATGATACTAATTTTTGTTCACCATTAATAAATTGTTTGATATATTTATTTTTTTAATAATATTTATATCATAAAAGTTAAGCTTTAATCTTCAAAAATATAATATAAATATCGTTTTATAAGTGCAGAATATAAATGACTGAATTATATTTAGTAGATATATATATATATATAAAGATTTTTATTTTATATATATTAATGGAGAGTATAAATGATTTTTAATTTCATTTCTTTCTTTTTTTTTGCAAAATCTCTAATGTTTTTAGCGCTAATCTCATAAATTATTTACTGGAAAACCTTTTCTAATAATAATAAAAAGTTATTACTAGGCTTACAGTTAATGATTTTTTCTTTTTCTGGCAATATTTTTTATAAATAAAATATTGTTTAAAATATTATATATATATAAGTGTATATGTGGTTAAAAAATATGAGAGAGAGAGAGAGAGAGAGAGAGAGAGAGAGAGAGAGAGAGAGAGAGAGAGAGAGAGAGAGAGAGTATTATAATAATCATTTTAATAGTCATATTAAGTTTGTTGGTCACGACCAACACTTTAGTACTGTATATATGGTATATAAATATATAATAAACATTTTTTAAAATATTCGTGTTTTTAATGAGATTTTTTTTAAAAATCATTTTTAAAAGTAATTGTGTGTAAAGAAAGAGTTTTGGGTTTCTCACAACTGTTATAATATTTAATAGCTATTTATCATACATTACATTACAATAGTTTGAATTTAATAATACATATATCCGTACTGTTAATTGTATTCATAACAAAAAATTATAATAATAATAATAATAATAATATTTACCGACAAACATACTGTCTGCTAAACCTAATCTAAAAACTACAAAAAAACAATTAATTTAAAATTCAAATTTAATTTGTTTTTGTTTATCAAAAAAATTGTTTTTCAATTATAATATTATTATTATTTACTAATAATATGTTTTTTAAAAATATGTTTATTAAAACAGTACAGAAAATTAAATATTCAACAAAAAAATTTTGTTAATATATTTTTTCATTTTGTTTTGTTAGACTTGTTTTTCACATCTTCTTCGAGACGTTTGGGTGTAATATACTCTTTGGGTATCCTCTGTTCAAGCCATGGATATTGGGCCACAATTTTGACCAATTGGTTGATCCATTGGGGTATACTTTTGCCGCAAAGTTTCTATTTTAATGAGATTTTTTTTATAAAAAAAATACAAATTAAATAAATAAATATTTAGTGCAAAATAATTTTCTTTTATAAATTCATTGAACAAACCTTACAAAAGGCATCTGAAAAGTGGTTACAATTATTTCTGATCAGATTATAGTCAATACCTCTGAACTGTTTGGTTCCCATTTCTTTGACAATGTCTTGTATCTCTTCTTCACTCAATTTTGTATATCCAATAAGTTTTGATTCTCTATAATGTATAATAAAACAGTATTATAAAAACAAAACAAATTATCTACAAAAAAAACTTATAATTATTACTTGTATTTAAACGTTTCATTGACACTCAAAGATCTGGTATCTTTAGGTGGCGTAACAAAAATGCCGCTAAAATTTTTCTGATGTCCACCAAATGAGTACTCTTTGTCTATCACTTGAACACCGGTATGATAGACACCCAGTCCTGGAGTCAACATTTTGATGTAATTGTTAGCTTCGGGCTTCAAAACAAACAAAAAGTTATTATTATTAATGAATTTTTTTGATAAATTTACATTTTGTTATCAAATAACTAACCACATCATAGATATGTAGTATAACTTGATTTTGATTTCCAATTTCCGAATTTTCTATACTTTTAATTTCACCCATTTTTATGTAAAGTAAAAGTTGTTAATTAGTTATATGAATAAAAAGTGTTTGATAGAAAAAAACAAAGTTTTATTTAAATTTATATTTATTTTATATACACTGATCCTAACAAAATATAAAACGGTTTACAATAACAAAAAAAAACAATACTACATTTGTTTGTTTCTCGAGATATATATAAAAATATATTACATATTATTATGTAAGTTTAATAATTTGTAGTTAATAATGTATTAATTTTTAAGCAACAAAATAATTACGAGTTTATCTCGAGATTTACTTAAATAAAATAACAAATTTTTAAAATAAATTAAAAGATAAATTTAGATATTATTAATAACAAAACGGTATTTATTTAGGAAAATTACTGATTAAATTAGACACAAAAAATAGAGTAAACTCTAATAATGACAGCACCGGGACAGATACCATTGTTTGGTAATCCCAACAAATTTATCGATACAGTGGCTAAACCTGAACTGTTGCAACTATCTGTCGGCCGTAAGCTCAGTGTCGGACCGTTAAATCAAAATATAAAGTGGATATTATATGCGCGGGCATTGAAAGTGTTTCGGATGTCGTTTGCCGGCTACGACCAAATATCGCTCGATTATTACAATCAAAAATATGCCGAATATCGCTACTCTATGGGCCAGTTGTACAACATCGACATCAATGACCCGTCACTGGCCGATATTGACGCCACTATTACCAACCATCTGGAAACGGAACAGTATATAACAAATATATCGGTGCTTAGACTGCGTACACCGGCGCTCATACCAAATATATGGGTACAAATAGCGGAGAACTACAGTCCAACTCAACGACAAACGACTGAACATAAGTTGAATTCAAACAGCGATGAACAGACTATCAACGTAACCCGATATCATAGCTACCGAAGCTATGTTGACCGCCGACTTGACAATACAAGTGGCATACGGCTAACAGTGCAGACACAGACCATTCACTACGGAACGTTTTACATAGGATTTCGGCAAATATCGGCCTACGGTTTCCGAGATTGGATACAATTTAGTCACGGAGTAGAACTGTTTGTAGAGATTGAGGTCAGTGGCTATATTGAAGAACAGGGATCTACCGATGAGTTTATTTACTACTTTCATATGCAAACACTGTATGAAATGTTGAACGAACGGCTCAACCATTGGCGCAATAATATACAGTTATTGGGTCTTAAGTGTGAACCCGAACACCGAAACGATAGTCAAAAATATCAGACAGTTATTGTGAAGCCATTGATCGATCCCAACACAACTGCGGCCTATTGGGTGGACAGTCAAGCACATACTAATGTAGAACTATGGGATCTACAAACCGCTTACATCAGACACAATAAAACCATCGACAGTGTCTGTCTGTGCGATCGGTGGTGCAATTGGACAGCATTTTTTCACTACAGTCCCATTTATCGGTTTCTGTTATTGTGTCACAAACAGATTTATCTCAGCAACTGGACCCACATTACCAATATGTATGTTATGGTGTCGGCATTTTGTACAACACTGAGAGGTCAACGATTGCTACCGACAGACCAGTTGCCGCCGACACCGATCTACCGATTGTTGAACGATGCCATCGACTACAAGGAACAATATGTTTTGTTAATAACAAGCACTCAGTTGAGTATAAATCAGTACAGAACGGCAATACCGATACCCAGAGAAATGGTAGGATTGGCCTACAATATACTGCGCTTCGAGACCGATTGGGTGGCACAGGTTCAGCAACTATACGACAATCACTTTACTCACGAATGTGTGGACATGTTTTGTCAGTTGGGTCTAGCGTTTGGCAAAATACATGAATATGTGGCACAAATTAGCATATTTGTTGATAAACGGACACAATATGAACCGTTTTGCGAACAGTTGAATGAAATTATACGAAATCATTGTCTTAAATACCTGACTCTAGCCGGCGATCGTATCATTCAGCGAAAGATAACCGGCACCGACTGGCTATTTAGTGAAGACCTTAAATACAACAAACGTTTACCTAAAACACCTAAAGAAGAGTTTGTATGGAATTGTCGGTCAATGGTTTTAAGACACGACGGACCGGACAGTAATCCGCTGATGGTTTCCACTCTAGTGTCGCCACTGTTAAACGTATTTTGCGCTGTTTATCTGTTTAACGGTTGGACAGAGACTGTGCTGACCTCAGGACCCGAGACTGAGATCGAGGCTATACTAAGCGTACAACAGTCCAAATATTTGGATAAATTACTTATTAATAATTTAATTAATGTCAAACCACCTCAATTGCTAACCTATCAGTTATCTGGACAACAGTTGATAGCTAAAGGTGTCCAACACATGAAGCGCCAGCTAATGGTTGTCTATATGTTGCGCATATATCACATGGCCTACGAGTGGCAGAGGGAGGCAATTGTGTTATTAGAGAATAAAAACGATTTTAACATTAGTAACGATAGAGAGGAGCCGTGTGAGGCCTACAGTAAAATATTTGATATTAATTATCTTGAATTTTATTGCCGTATCGCCAATCATACACCACTGTTTGAAATCAATAGCAACCAATTGGACACCAATTTCAACGAGTTTTACAATACCTATTGGCCAAAAGCGGTTCACGAAACCAATCAGAAACTCAATAATACCCAAATTCAACAGTCAGTGATCAGTGAATATAATAAACTCTATCACTGGTTGATCTACAGGGGTGATAGTAGATTAAAATTTAGACGTATAGTCAACTGGATTGACCTCTCTATTGAAAATGTCCGTCAAAATAGCCACCAAATACTGAATAATCATATTATGTCAACTATTAATGATATGCAAAACACATACGAATACAGTGTCGACATTCTAGACTATGTGGTCTACTATTTAGTAAAAGCTCAGTGTTTTGTCATTGTCTGTATTGTCAACCAGTTTCTCAGTAAACTGATTTCACTACAAACGCCGGCAATTTTCAAGACTAACAGACAGTTTTCATTGTGCAAACCCGGTTGGGTACCAATGTTTCGTACGGTCGACACAGTGCGGACAGCATTGGACAGTATACTCGCCGACAATATTATCTACGATGACGAGTGTCAGCGTATTGCCGGAACAGTCGATGAGACCAAAGAGCTAATCAGACTCCAGTTTGAACAGTATTACAGAAAACTAGTAAATCAATGGACACGTGAACTGAAATTATTGCGCAATAAAATTGTTCAGACAGTCAACACAAATCCATTAATTAGACTGCATTTGGCCGTCGGACTCGGTTTTATGGCCGCTTTTGTCAATACATTTAGGTCGACAGTCAACGATTTTCGCAAACTTTTGCTAGAAATTTTAGACGGACCTATCAGTGCCAATAGGCCAGTACAGGCTGTACTACAAAATTTGCGTCCAACATGTCTGAAGTATCTGGAAAACGTGGACACTGTACTCGAGGCCTTACCACTCATACGTCAACCATGGGATCAGGAGTTAGAGTCTATTTTGAACGACTTCGCCACCAATACTACTAAACAATCGTTGGGTATTGATTTAGAAGAATCCAATACTTAGATATCATCAATATATTAGTATTTTACAGTATATATGTTTGTCTAAACCCTGTAAATCATATGAAATATGTGTAATATAAAATAAACTATTTATTTCAACTATTTATTTGCTGCTTAAAAATATAATAATACATATTTGTATTTTTTGAAAATTATTTTATACAACTATACATAGTTACCATGTACAAATAAGTTTCTAATAATATTTATAATATTTTTTTAGTTTAGATTAGTTTAGATCTTCTATAGTAATAGTTATAGTTATTTTTTTAAAAAAATAAATAAATATTTCATTTCTATAACAACTACAGTACTAAAAGTTTTAAAAACAGAAACATAAATTTGCAATTAATTAAATTCAAAATTATTAATTCAAAAAACGGTATTTAGGAAAACTTGTTGTAATAAAGATTTTTATTTTATTTTAATTAGAGTTTCACAAAATTAATATTTAAAACAATCGATGGGATAATACTGTAATAATAATTAATTGATAGACTAGTATATAATATTCGGAAAAAACTTTTTAGCGGAATTAATAAAAACTTAAAAATCAGTTAATATAATATATAGATTACATAAATCATAAAACAGTTAATTTTTTTTAATAATAACAATTACTACATTGTTGTACGTGAAAAAACCTAATAATTGATATTTTTGAAAATTTCAAATTAGATTTGACTTAACTGCAACATAATTAACCGTTAATTTTATTTTTGTTTGTTTTTTCATTTGAAAAAGAGTTTCTGTTAACTGATTCAAATTGTGATTATCATTGAAAACAGTATTTGTGAGATATAAACAACAAAAACCACTGAACAGACAGACAGACAGACCGACAGACCGGGACTAAGTTTCTAGTGATGTGTGTCTACAGACTGTTTGAATATCTGTTGAGACACTGTTGCTGTTGTTGTTATCAACGCAAAAGTGAGTCAATGAAGACTAAAACCAAACAACAAAAACAATATCAGAAACAGTGTTTGCAATTGTCGGCTAAAAATCGTGAAAATATTACACCAAAAGACAGTCCGGATAAAATCAAGACAGAGGAGATGTCCCAACAGTATCGGATACCGCAAGAGTATCCGACTGAAGAGGCCGTAATCGAAAACATTGGATATAAGAGACTGAATGAGTTGGGCGAAGGATCTTTCGCTACTGTTTATAAGGCCAAACATATCGAGTCGGGAACACTGGTGGCCATCAAACGAATACCGATTCGGCGTACGTTTTACCAAACAAGCGACACAACCAAAACTGCAACGTTCGACCTCAAGAACGAACTGTACATTTTGGCCACAGTCCGTCACCCGCATATTGTCCAACTGATCCGGCATTTTATTGTAGCCACAGATAATACGTTTACACTTTATATAGTGATGCCAATAGCAGAGGGGGGTTCGCTATCCGATTATCTCAAACAAAAGGTTTCGTTTCCCGATAAAAGGTGTCAAACGTTTTTGTCTCAAATTATGAATGCATTGTTGTTTATGAAGACCAAACACATTGCACACCGGGATCTGAAATTGTCGAATATTTTATTGGACGCCAAACGTGATGTACTTATAACTGATTTCGGTCTGAGCCGTGTTTTATGGCGCGAGAGTATTCAAGGTGTAAAAGAGTCGACCACTCTATGCGGTACTCCTCAATATATGGCCCCCGAATTGTTTGCCAAATATGCCAAAGACAAGAATCCATTGAAATATAACGCTCACGCCGTCGATGTCTGGGCTGTTGGGGTCATACTGTTTAAACTGTGTACCGGTATATATCCATTTCCTAATGACAAGAAACGGGCGTTGCGTCACATGAATGAAAGAAAAATAAGATTCAAAGGTGATGTCAAAAACATGTCTGAAAAGATTCGGGCATTCCTTCATAAAATCTTTACACCCGACCCAATACAAAGGCCGCCACTCGAAGAACTTGTCAAAGACGAGTGGATTAGAGTTGAATACAACAAACAACAGATTCTGATCAATGATTATATGAAGAAACTTATTGTTAAAACAAATGAAAACGTCGACCAAAACAACAACACGAAAGACAACAACATATCTATTAGTGGACAACAAAAGTGAAGAGTTATTATTGAATGAGAATTTCTGATGAATTTATTGTTATTTTTTTGTATAGAAATTTGTTTTTTGATATTTGTATTTAGTTTTTTAAAAATAGATTAGCATTACTTAAAACAACAACAAACTTGTATTAAATTTATTGTAAATAAAAAATACATTAAAACTTTTATTTGCTTTTGTTTATTAATAATATAATATAATTTGTTTTTTTAAATGTTTATTAATACAGAACAGAAAAACAAAATATTTGTAAAGTATTAGAAAAATTAAATATTCAACAAAAAATTTTTTGTTAATATATTTTTTCATTTTGTTTTGTTAGACTTGTTTTTCACATCTTCTGCGAGACGTTTGGGTGTAATATACTCTTTGGGTATTCTCTGTTCAAGCCATGGATATTGAGCCACAATTTTGACCAATTGATTGATCCATTGGGGTATACTTTTGCCGCAAAGTTTCTATTTTAATGAGATTTTTTTTAATAAAAAAACTAATTAAATAAATAAATATTTAGTGCAAAATAATTTTCTTTTATAAATTCATTGAACAAACCTTACAAAAGGCATCTGAAAAGTGGTTACAATTTTTTCGGATCAGATTATAGTCAATACCTCTGAACTGTTTGGTTCCCATTTCTTTGACAATGTCTTGTATCTCTTCGTCACTCAATTTTGTATATCCAATAAGTTTTGATTGTCTATAAAGTATAATAAAACAGTATTAAAAAAACAAAACAAATTATCTACAAAAAACTTATAATTATTACTTGTATTTAAACGTCTCATTGACGCTCAAAGATCTGGTATCTTTAGGTGGCGTAACAAAAATGCCGCTAAAATTTTTTTGGTGTCCACCAAATGAGTACTCTTTGCCGAATACTTGGACACCAGTGTGAAAGACACCCAATCCTGGAGCCAATATTTTGATGTAATTGTTAGCTTCGGGCTTCAAAACAAACAAAAAGTTATTATTATTAATGATTTTTTTTTAAATGACATTTTGTTATCAAATAACTAACCACATCATAGATATGTAGTATAACTTGATTTTGATTTCCAATTCTTGAATTTTCTATACTTTTAATTTCACCCATTTTTATGTAAGGTATAATTTGTTAATTAATTATATTATTATAATAACAACAAAATTTATTAAAAATAAAAATTGATTTTATCTACTGATCTAACAAAATATTAAACGGCTTACAACAACAACAAAAAACAATTATTTAATACACAAATGTTTGTTTCTCGAGCTATACTTATATTTCAAACAAACTTTTCGTACATATTATTAGCATATTTTGTGTATACGTTATCCTAATTTAATTTAAATTCAATTCACGCCCATAACAACTACATACGATTTGCTTATTATCGACAGAAAAAAGTTACCATTAATTGAGATCATTGTCATTGTCTTATTGGTTTCTAATCAGTCAATCAATCAGAAATAAAAAAAACTGCCAAAAGTTCTGCTGAAGAATGAATATTCCGCCGAAAGACTCGTTTGAACGCTTCGGCGATGACTTAACTCAAGTACTGTTAGGTTATCTGCCGTTTGACGACAAATTCAAATATGAGTGTATTTCAAGACAGTGGCAACAATTGGTGTTCAATGAAGTCAATGCCGTCAATATTATAGGCAAAGAAAATCAATTCAAGAAATTGAATGACAATTCATTTGATTTTTCAAAATGGATGAAAATCTTCAGAAAGTTGCCGAACGTTACAAAAGTGTTTCTTAGTATTCAATTGGACATCAATTTGAATGTAAATATGATTTTAAACGGAACCGTTAATATTCAACAACTATTCCAAACTATGGATTCTGTTCGTCCAAATGTCTTTCAAATTCACGAACAACTAATTGATTTAGTGGTTAAAGAGTGTCCACATTTAGTTCAGTTAACATCGGATACTCACACAGAAATCATTGACCAATCGGTGGACAAAGTCATCAGTAAATTTGGTTGTCGTCTAAACAAGTTTCACATACCATATGTTGATAACCGAAATTTACGATACTTTAATCAGTTGTCATCGATGCCATACTTACGTTACCTTCAGGACGACAACATTGAATTTGACGATCTAATCAATGGTACGGATGTTTACACTAAAAGACTTGAAGTTTTCAGCTTTATTTGTGTGGATGAAAATGTTGACAGATTTGTAGAGTTTGCACAGATTGGTCGCAATCGACACATACCGTTGTCATCGCTATCGATAGTGATCTATGGCGACAATGAAGTCGTCGACAAAGTCATCAATAGTGTCCAATGTTTCGGTACTTTGAAACAATTGTCGCTGTGTTTGGAAAGTCAATATCACGCCAATAGACAGCAATTTCAGCAATTGGTCCGCAACTGTCCAAAAATCAAACGGTTTGGTTACTCGACTCGAAATACTGAATGCAATAGAGTTATCGCGGATATCAATCAAGTGTTTGGCGGAACTCATGTCACGGCATTATATATCGGCGGTATTGGTGAAGATAATGACTACTTTGTGCTGACCAGCGATATGTTGAATCGATTGAGACAATTGAGACGATTGACTATTGCTAATATCGAAATTGACGATCGATTTTTCGCTAATCTGGCCGTCAATTTGCCGAAAGTCTATTACTTGGCATTAGGACCCGTTATATTGACCAATCAATCGCTTCAATCTTTGTGTCAGATGCGACGTTTGGCCACTTTGAGGGTCTTTTTGTCGAAGACAACGGCCAATACATACAGTAGGACTGAACTCATGAATCTGAAAATGCGACCAAAATTTCGCCACTTTTATAAAGTTAGAAATACTCAATATTTAGTCTAAAAGATTATTCAAAAAAAAAAAGTTTTCAATTTCAAAAATCATATTTTCTCTCAGTATTTATATTATTAAACAGAAAAATATTTCAATTTTTTATTGTCAATTAAATTTTTGTATTCAAAATATTTGTGTGTTTTATTCAAATAAAATATTTAATTAAAAAAAAATAATTATTTAGTATTAAAATTAGTTGGGGGGGGGGGGTTGTTGTTGTCGTTATAATCAATGTATCAATGTTTAACTAAAATAAAACGATTGTCTTATCAGTAACTTTGAAATTGGTGAACAAAAATTTTTTTTGCCAATTTGGCCGTCAATTTACCGAAAGTCTATCACTTGGTTTTAGGTCCGGTTGTATTGACCAATCAATCGCTGTGTTAAATGCGATGTTTGGCCACTTTGATAGTCTATTTGTATACATATTTTTTTGCTGTTGATTGACTTAATTGAAATAAAATATTTGATTAAATTAGACCAATAAAACTGATAAAAAAAATTAATAAATGTATTGTTGTAAATGTAAAATAATTTTTGAAAATTTCAAATTTCATTGATATAACTGACAAACAAATTAATCTGTAATCTGAATCTAATAGTGATTATCATTGAGACATTCACTCGTGAGACAAAAACCACTGAATTGATAGACAGGGACTGAGTGTCTAGTAATGTGTTATCGACTGTTTGAATATCTGTTGAGACACTGTTGCTGTTGTTGTTATCAACGCAAAAGTGAGTCAATGAAGACAAAAACCAAACAACAACAACAATATCAGAGACAGTGTTCACAATTGTCGGCCAAAATTCATGAAAATATTACATCAAAGGACAGTCCGGATAAACTCAAGACAGAAGAGATGTCGCGACAGTATCGGATACCACAAGAGTATCCGACTGAAGAGGCCGTAATCGAAGACGTTGGCTATAAGAGGCTGAATGTGTTGGGCGAGGGATCCTTCGCTTCTGTGTTTAAGGCCAAACATATCGAATCGGGAACACTGGTGGCCATCAAACGAGTACCGATTCGGCGTACGTTTCGCCAAACAAGCGACGCAACCAAAACTGCAACGTACGACCTCAAGAACGAACTGTACATTTTGGCCACAGTCCGTCACCCGCATATTGTCCAACTGATCCGGCATTTTATTGTAGCCACAGATAATACGTTTACACTTTATATAGTGATGCCAATAGCAGAGGGGGGTTCGCTATCCGATTATCTCAATCAAAACGGATCGTTTCCCGATAAAAGGTGTCAAACGTTTTTGTCTCAAATTATGAATGCATTGCTGTTTATGAAGACCAGACACATTGCACACCGGGATCTGAAATTGTCGAACATTTTGTTGGACGCCAAACGTGATGTACTTATAACTGATTTTGGTCTGAGCCGTGTTTTATGGCGCGATAGTATTCAAGGTGTTATAGACTCGACCACTCTATGCGGTACTCCTCAATATATGGCCCCCGAATTGTTTGCCAAATATGCCAAAGACAAGAATCCATTGAAATATAACGCTCACGCCGTCGATGTCTGGGCTGTTGGGGTCATACTGTTTAAACTGTGTACCGGTATATATCCATTTCCTAATGACAAGAAACGGGCGTTGCGTCACATGAATGAAAGAAAGATCAGATTCAAAGGTGATGTCAAAAACATGTCGGAAAAGATTCGGGCATTCCTTCATAAAATCTTTACACCCGACCCAATACAAAGGCCGCCACTCGAAGAACTTGTCAAAGACGAGTGGATTAGAGTTGAATACAACAAACAACAGATTCTGATCAATGATTATATGAAGAAACTTATTGTTAAAACAAATGAAAACGTCGACCAAAACAACAACAAGAAAGACAACAACATATCTATTAGTGGACAACAAAAGTGAAGAGTTATTATTGAATGAGAATTTCAGATGAATTTATTATTAATTTTTGTGTTGATTTGTATTAAAACTTATTTTCTATATTAGTATTCAGTTTTTATTTTTTAAATAGATTAGCATTTCTTACAACAAAAAAACATGTATTGAATTGAATTGAATTTTATTATATTTAAAGTGGAAATAAAAATTTATTATAAATAAAATACATTAAAACTATTGAATATCGATTTAAATACTATACGATATTACAGTATAATACACTATATTATTAGTAATATAATACAGGTTTAAAATACTTGTATTAAAAGTATTAATATATTTTGTTTGTTGGTCTGTATTGTTGATGACCCCGGGATGATGTTATAACTAATAATATTAATCACTTGAACCAGTTGTGCTCCAGCGCTGCACTGGACGTAATCCGTTTGTCGGGTTTGGGTTCCAGTAAACTATTACACAGACTCTGGGCCACAAGTGATACATCTTTTTTAAATTTATATTTCCGGTTGTTTTGTTTGGACACAAAATCATTCTCAACACTGTTGCCAAACGGCTTGTAATAGTCAAGCATTTCAAACAGTGTGACACCCATTGAGTACATGTCGGCCTGTTTTGCATCGTAGACCATGCCTTTGTCGAGCGACAGTACCTCCGGTGCATTGTAGACCGGTGTACCGCATATCGTACCCTTCATGAGCCGATCGCTGGGATTGTTGGCTATAAAACAGGAAAACCCGAAATCTGTGAGCAGCGCATCTGTCAAATCTTTGTCCAACAATATGTTATCCGGTTTGATATCTCTGTGGGCCAAACCTTTGCCGTGCAAATAAGCTAACGCTTCAAACACATCGTGCGACCACTTTTTTGCCCGTTTTTCATCTATCGGTCGTTTTGTTCGTTCGAGATAATCGGCAATCGAACCGTTGGCCATAAAGTCCATGAATATGAAGGCGTGGTGAGGGGTTTTGAATACTTCGTACGTCCGGACAATGTGCTGGTGTTTGAACTTTCGGACGATTTTCAACTCGTTTTTCAGACATTTTTCCCGCCATTCCATGTTATTGATGATCGTGAGGTCGAAGTACTTGCAGGCCAACTGTTTGTTGGGCATCTTATTCCATGTGGCCTTATATACAGTGGCGTACGCACCGGCGCCAACCTTTTCGCCCAAAGCATAACCTTTGTTGGCTATTTTTTTGGGCAATACTCCCGTTTGGCTATCGATTGAACTACCATCCCGTGAGATTTGACTGTCCGTTTTGATTGTCGACGATCCTTGATTGTTGGCCATATATTATATCACTATTACTGGTAAACCATAAATATATATATATAAATTTAGATATTTTTTTAAGTCAATTATATCTTATTAATAATATATAAGTCAATTATGTTGCAGATGTTTATAACGGTTAAGGTTTTTAAATAAGTATTTTAAAAAATAATATTTTAAATATTAATGTTATCGCACGCGTGTACTATAAGCACGAATACACGTTTTAACACGTTTTTATAAATATGCTAAATATGGTCAATTTCTCATGTTTTATTATCCATTCAATTTGATATATATTTGATAATCCACAGCAACCGATGCGAGTTACCGGATATTTTACCGGCAATGGATTGCCAACAAAACAAACTCTGACCACTGGATCTTATTTTGTGAAATCATCTGTTTAGCCATAGTTTTGTCTTTATATTTAAAAAAACATATTGGATTTGTTTAACAAATCTCTGTACTACAGTATATTAAGCCTCCATTAGTTATACTTTTGATGTTTTGAAATTATAATTTCATTGCTAACTATTTTGTTAAGTTTTTTTTTGCACTGATTATCGCATTTTACTTGAAATTCATACAATAATTGGAAAGCTGTGATCAAACTTAGACAACAACCCAAACGACTAATGATAACCAATGATTGTTATAGTCATCGACAACAACAACAACAACATTATCATCATCAGTGAGGACGACAACAGTTGTGGTCCTAACAATGTGTTCAATCGTATCCTATCATTCTTCAAGTTCTCCAATAAAGTGTCGATAAATAAAGTTTTTTTATTGTATGTCTAAAGACTAGAAATTAATTATACAATTAATTAATTAACAGTTTGAGAATCAGTAAGAGATTTATTTTTTGATATTAGTATATAGTTTTCAGAAAATAGATTAGCATTTCTTACAACAACAACAACAACCAAAAAAAACTTGTATTAAATTTATTATAAATAAAAAATAAACTTAAAACTATTGATTTAAATATTATATGATATAATAATACAGCAGTTATGATAAATACAGTACAGTGTTTGAAATAATAAAGTATTTTGTTTGTTAGTCTGTATTGTTGGTCACTCTGGGATGATGTTATAATCGGTAATATTAATCACTTGAACCAGTTGTGCTCCAGCGCTGCACTGGACGTCATTCGTTTGTCGGGTTTGGGTTCCAGTAAACTATTACACAGACTCTGGGCCACAAGTGATACATCTTTTTTAAATTTATATTTCCGGTTAATTTGTTTGGACACATAATCCATAGTTTTCTCAACACTGTTGCCAAACGGCTTGTCATAGTCTAGCATTTCAAACAGTGTAACACCCATTGAGTACATGTCGGCCTGTTTTGCATCGTAGGCCATGCCTTCGGCGAGCGACAGTACCTCCGGTGCACTGTAGATCGGTGTACCGCATATCGTACCCTTCATGAGCCGATCGCTGGGATTATTGGTTAGACAACAGGAAAACCCGAAATCGGTGAGCAACGCATCGCTAAAATCGTTGTCCAACATTATGTTATCCGGTTTGATATCCCTGTGGGCCACACCTTTGCTGTGCAAATAGACCAACGCTTCTAACATATCGTGCGACCACTTTTTTGCCCGTTTTTCATCTATCGGTCGTTTTTTTCGTTCGAGATAATCGCCAATCGAACCGTTGGCCAGAAAGTCCATAAATATGTAGGCGTGATGACTGGTTTTGAATACATCGTACGTCCGGACAATGTGCTGGTGTTTATGCTTTCGGACGATTTTCAACTCGTTTTTCAGACACTTTTCCCGCCAAACGATTTGCTGGTTGTTTGTTAGATCGAAGTACTTGCAGGCCAACTGTTTGTCGGGCATTTTTGAACACGTGGCCTTATAAACCGTGGCGTATCCACCGGAGCCAATCTTTTCGCCCAAAGCATAACCTTTGTCGGTGATCTCCACCGGCAGTCTTGTCGGTCGATCCTGACTACCGACTGATCCCGTATCCCGTGAAACCTCACTGTCTGTTCTAATAACCGGTTGCTTTTCTTTGTCGTCCATATTATATCATATTACTGGTTAATCATATATAAAGTAAAAAAAATATTATATCTTATTAAAGATGTTATAGATGTATAACGGTTTTTGTTTTTATTAATAAATATATTTATTTTTATTTTATTAAATAGTGTTTTCACACGCGTCTACTACAAGCACGCATACGTTATGCGTGTTTTCTTAATTGTCGCAAAATATTGTTACAATAATTATTATAAAAAAAAATATTTATTTTTGCAAATCTGTAAATGTTTTATTGTCTATTCAAATTGATATAAACTAATATAAACTTAGCGAACTATGTCATTGTACTATACTATCGTTTTTTTAGCATTATATTATGTTATATAATAGATAATTTAAAATAAAGATAAAATCATGTTTTAATATAAAAAACAAAATAAAAAAATAAAATTAGTATGCAATAAGTCATTAGAGTAGTGCTTAATATATTAAGGGGTAAATATATTTTAAATAATAATAACAACAACAAATTGTTGCATTCATTATAATCATCATTTATTTCATCAATTGGTCAAACAAAGTGCCAATTTTGATGGTATTTTTCGATGAATTACTGTACGAAATATAGACATTCGCAACATTAGGCCGACTGCCAATCAAGTCCTTGTTGACCACTGTTTCGGTAACCATTTGTTTTTGACTACCCTTATGGTAACAATAGTCCAGACAAATGTCGTGCAAGTGTTTTAATTTGGCCACTGATTTGATAACTCTTTCAGAGAGATGTGTGTACGATATATTCAGATACTGGAGTCGCGGTAAATGGTGGTCAATATTGTCAAAGAAGTGTTGGCCGATAAACAAATTGGGTATTCGTAGCGAAAAATGTGTCAATTGTTTCATCTCTTTTAGCGAAGCACTTGTTAATGACGACACTGTCATCTCGTCGTCGTCTTCATCATTATCGTCATCGTTACCACAAATAGACAATTGTTTTAGTTGTTTCATATGCGTACCAATTGTACTCAAAACCAGTTCATACTTCTCAACATCTATTTGGACATCAAGGATGAGATCTAATACTTTCAATTGTCGACATTTGACTCCTAATTGTGTCAATAACTTCTGGATATTGTCCTTAATATTTGTTTTATAGAGAATAAGCTGTAGTTTACGTAATGAAGACATTTGTGATAATAAATAGATCAATGTTTCGACAGTTATGCGATCGAAATCACCATAAATTTCGAGATCAAGTTTTAAGATTTGTTTTTCATAATTAGCCACAAATAGTGGCAAAATTTGCATACAATCGGGAGTCAATCGGAAAGCAATTTCACGTAAGCTATCCCTTAACAACCATTTATTATCGGCAAACAGTTGATCCAATGTGATGGTCAGCCAACCGTTATGATAGCGATCGGCTGACTCAACAGTAAGTTTTTTGACAAATGGGGCGCTATGTATGGCCATCAAGTTTGTCGGCTTTAGTAGTTTCCACAGACAATCGTTGGTCTCAATTATTGTCAACTGATTGCTGAATGTATCCATAAATCGGTCGATCTGGTCGGCAGTTAGTTTACATTTGCCGACAGGTTTTACATTGATTTCAATATGTTTCAAATTACGGCAGTGTTTGACCAATACATCCAAGTAATCGTTGGTCAGTTCCTGGGCTCTTAGATCTCGGATCTCCACTTTTGTAAGTTTTGGACAATTTTCGACAATTGTCCGAAACAAACGGCATCTTTGGTCCTCCAATTTGGCCAGTTTTAGGCCGACTTTCTCGAATAGTAAGGCATCAAATGTCAAAATTGTTTGCGAATCGGATACCAATGTCTGGAAGTGTTTGCCAACGCATCTGAATCTTAGTGTTTCTTCAATTGGCAGATAGGATAGTAAATGTCTGCTCAGATCATCGCCGAAACGGCCAAACGATTCACTAAACGAATTGACAATATTTTTGACATCACTTTTCGAATCGACGACATCGTTGTCGTCGACCGTCGATGAAGTCTTCAGTGCTTTGTTTGATACCATTACTGTTTATTTTATTTTATTTTTTTTGTTACAAACTTGTAATCACTGCTAAATTTAGTGTTTAATATAATCACACAATTATTAGTGCCTTTCAATGCAATTATTATTATTATTGTTTATAAACCGCCAAAAAATATATATATAATAGTTTCCATACATTATATTATTTGTACAATACTTAACACACAAACAACGTTAGGCTATACTGTATACCCATCGGCTATTAGCGACTATAGCTTATATAAAGTTTACAATTACCGGTAAATTATTTTTTTTTAAAAACTCACTTTTCAAATTGATCCCAATAAATAACAATTTTATCGTTTAGTTTTAAACTTAATTGTTGTCTCATTTAGCAATCAAATCAAATTTGATAACAAATCAACATAAAAAATGATTTGAATTTAATAAAATAAACTAAAACTATAATAAATAATTATACAGATATTTCAATGATTTTTTTGTGTCTTTTAATTTATATTATTATTATTATTATTATTGAGATAATTGATTGACTTTTAACGATTCATTATTATTGTTACTATGACTGTCATTGATTTCGGTATCATTTGCTAACAATTTATTTTGTCGCCTAAAATTTTGGGCATAACTTTCGGCGGCCAACTTTGAATAGTATATACAATCGGGAACACTAAAGCCTTGATAGGAGGCGCCCACTAATGTCATATTTAGCGAATGTTTTTTAACTAATTCATCGATTTTGGCCAATCGTAATGAATGTCCCAAATAATATTGAGGTATACAGTTCTGAGGCAACAAATAAACAAAAATAATACAATGAATTAAATTGATTGAAATGTAAATTATTTTTTTAAAACAATATATACTTTATGTATTGAAACTATATGTCGATATGGTTTATCACCGATCTTCAGATACTTTCGGACAGCATCTACAGCATAATTCAGTACCAAGTTTTTGTCCACATTGTCGACATCATTGGTACCGAAAATTTCCTCAAACCATTCGCCGCCCATCATTACCTACAGATATATTTAATGAAATCAATTATTAGTAATATTAATAAATCAATTGTAACCCACTGTTAGTCTTGTTATGTCTTTATTGGCGTTGAATTGCGGCGAAACACACGAATCGTAAACAATGCCCAAAATATTCGAGTTTTCCCGCGAAGGCACCAAAAATCCAAAACCAGACGAATCGGGCATTAGTTTGCCCTTAAATTCAAGGTTAATGACAGCCATATGAACACTAGTGATATCGTTGAGAGATTCAGACAGATCACCGAACCTATGGGACAAAACTGAGGCCAAATTGCGGGCCGGAATCGCTGAGAATACATGACTGGCTTCCAGTTCAACATTGTTGTCTTCAGGTGTCGATATACTTATTGTAGTACTTCTTGTTGTTGGATCAAAATCTATTTTCTTAACAGTCGAATCATTGTATATCTCAATTGATTTGTCGTCTAAAGACATCATATAATCGCACAGTCGATTGGGAAGTGCTTGCATACCATCATTGAATGTATAGGTTGACCATCGTTTGGTCTGCGCTTCAGTGATCAATGGACTGTCGTATAAGGATTTCATTACATTTGTCTTCTGTGCATTGGTAATGGCACCCGCTATGATTGCTCCCGATTCTTGTTCACCTCTAACCATATCGGGAAACACCGATAAAACTGACAGTTTTTTGGAGTTACCGGCAGTTATTCCCCGACACAACGGATCGATAAAGTAGTCGGCAATTTCGGTACCCAATCGGCGTTGAACGTAGTCATAGACACTAATGTCACGGCCAATGGCCTCCAAATCGATTACCGGTGTACGCAAGTCTTGAATTACATAACTAATCAATCTTTTGGTAAATGGTTTTCGTTTGAATAGTAAATCTTGTACTTTGTTAGGCAATTGAACTAATTCATCGTTGGCTACAATAAAGCGCTTTTGCGAGACAACAGACTTGCCTGAAGTGCCGACCACTTCACCGGACAAACCGAGATCACCGACCTGTAAAACAAACAATACTTTGTGTAATTACCGAATCATATTAGTGGCCGAAACGGGTGACTTACGAGTGACAGAGCGTTATAACCCGAATTGGTGGCCACACGCAGTGTTTTCGGTCCCAATTCGTGTCGGACGCCGTCATCAAATGTACAAGTCTTGAGCCAACCGCCCAAATGTGATGAACTTTCGACGACAACAATCTTCGGCAACGGAACCCTTGTCTTGAGTTGCGAACAAAATTTATGCAAATAATAGGCAGTCGAGAGGCCACTGATTCCGCCGCCTAAGACAACCACCGATTTTGGTGCAGCCATTGATGTGGTCACCAAATCAAGTGTCGGTTCTGACGCAAAACAAAAAAAACTTTTACAAACAAACAGATGGTATCACTGAAGACAAGTCATCACTGAAGTAGTAATGAAGACAAACACACAAAACATCAATCAATCCAATGATGAAACCATTGAACAGACAGACATGTAATGCCATCTCTTGTGTTAAACAAGTTTTTATCACATATTTTGCTAATTCATTGTCGACTCAAACAAACCAAACACTGAAAAAATCAATTGAAGTTTTGTATTGAAGAAGACATTACCACTTAAAGACCTCTCACTCTCATTGAAGACAATATCATCACTTGAAGATCACTATTAGATATGGAAGACTTGGGTATTGTTTTGCCCGAAAAGGTATGTCTAGTGTTGTAAAAAAAGACACAACTCTTCTTGGATCACATGTCTTGTGATTTTTATTATCAAATGATTTTTTGTTGTTATTGTTTGTTTCGCAAAACAAGGAGGAAATCTTTACCAGTGATGTCAAACAGGTAACCACAGCGTCGACACCAACACAAGAGACTGAAGACTTGGACGATATGTATGTCAAATACAAGAAACTTCAGCGACAGTTGGAGTTTCTTGAAGTACAAGAGGAGTACATTAAAGACGAACAGAAAAATTTGAAGAAAGAGTATCTTCACGCACAGGAAGAAGTAAAACGCATTCAATCGGTTCCACTGGTGATCGGCCAGTTCTTGGAGGCCGTTGACGCCAATACAGGTATTGTCGGTTCGACTACGGGATCCAATTATTATGTTCGCATCTTGAGTACCATCGATCGGGAACTGTTGAAGCCGTCGTCATCGGTAGCTCTACACAAACACAGCAACGCTTTGGTGGACGTACTGCCGCCCGAAGCCGACAGTAGTATAGCTATGCTGAGACCGGATGAGAAGCCCGAAGTAAGCTATGCCGATATCGGTGGTCTCGATATTCAGAAACAGGAGATTCGCGAGGCTGTGGAGTTGCCGTTGACACACTTTGAACTCTACAAACAGATCGGTATTGATCCACCGCGAGGTGTACTGATGTACGGGCCGCCCGGTTGCGGCAAAACAATGTTAGCCAAAGCAGTGGCCCATCACACGACTGCATCGTTCATTCGGGTAGTCGGTTCCGAGTTTGTCCAGAAATATTTGGGCGAAGGTCCCCGAATGGTGCGCGACGTGTTTCGATTGGCCCGAGAGAACTCACCGGCCATTATCTTCATCGACGAGATCGATGCCATCGCTACGAAACGTTTCGACGCGCAGACCGGTGCCGATCGTGAGGTTCAGCGAATTTTGCTGGAACTGCTCAATCAGATGGACGGTTTCGATCAGACTACCAATGTTAAGGTAATTATGGCCACCAATCGAGCCGATACATTGGATCCGGCACTGCTCCGGCCGGGACGGTTGGACAGGAAGATTGAGTTCCCGTTACCTGACAGACGCCAGAAGCGATTGATATTTTCAACGATTACCGGTCAAATGAATTTGAGCGACGAAGTCGATCTGGAAGACTATGTCGCCCGACCCGATCGTATTTCGGGTGCCGATATCAATGCCATTTGCCAGGAGGCCGGTATGCATGCCGTCCGCGAGAACCGGTATGTGGTTTTGCCGAAGGACTTTGAAAAGGGCTACAAAAATAACATCAAAAAAGACGAATCGGAGCACGAATTTTACAAATAATAATAATTATTTATTTTTAGTTATTATTACTGTATTATTATTTTGTATGTTCTTAGATATTGAAAAAATATCGATTAAAAAATATTTATCATTTGAAACAAAAAACTTTACAAAAAGTTTTTTTTTAAAAAGTTTATTGTCATCTAAACTGATCGATATTCTGTTTAAATTGTATTTTATAACAAAAAAAACAGTTGTTTATTATATATATAAGTTTTTTTTGGATTCATATTAAAACTAATTTATATTTTGATTGATTTTTTTTGTTTAGTTAATTATGTGATTTATTAGCTGTGTTTGTGTGTGTAAAACAAAACTGTGTTTACAATGAATTGTTTATTATTTATTTATAAGTTAAGCTTATTATTGAATACAAAGTGTTTATTTGCATACTATTGTTTAAATAATAATTATATAGGACTGATGACCATAGAGAACAGTTGGCTTTCGTTTAGGCAGTTTTTGTTAGATTAGGTTATTATGAAGGGAGAAGCGCGTCGATCGATAAAACATATGATGTTTAATCTTAAGAGATGACGCCTTGTTCTGAAGCAAAACCACCAGATATGGTATGCCTTCTGGCACTGGAAAGACCATTAGTGGCACATTTGCGAGCGATTGGATGATTAGCTGATAACCTTCCCTCTCTTTCCCTCTTCTCTCTCTCAGCTCTCCTCTCTTATTGCTCTCTCGACACACAATACCTCTCTCTCTCTCTCTCTCTCTCTCTCTCTCTCTCTCTCTCTCTCTCTCTCTCTCTCTCTCTCTCTCTCTCTCTCTCTCTCTCTCTCTCTCTCTCTTCCATACCAGAGAGAGAACCAGCCATTCCGTAGCTCTCTGTGCTCACCCTCTATGGTCTCCATAGCTAAACCATTAGGTTTTTGTAGTGTTTTTCTCTCTCTTCGCCAAAACATACACACATACAGACATACATACATACATACAGTATATATTGTATACACACTCTATAGCAGTGCTAAAGTCATATATCTCTCACTCACTACCAGTCATTAGATTATAGTGTGGGTGAGACATATAAATACAAGAACCACTCATCGGACGGCCATTTTTTGGTCATATTTGACACTATTTACGACACTTTTGGATCTTCTAATTTGATTTGAAATTATCGACCGAACGGTCCGACTCAACCCCAACACTACAAACATGTCGGCCAACAACCGATTGATCGCATTATTAACCGTTTTCATAGTGATTGCCATACAGTGGTCCGAACCCGTCGACGCTTATGTTGAGGTCAGTCTAATACCCGATACCTATTTATTTCAATTATATACCAAAATTTTCATAATTATTTAGTCATTTAATAACATAATTTTCTATTAAATTTCTATTTAAATACAATTTGACAACAATTTATGGCACATATGATAATAATAATGTGTTACATATATATATATATATATATAATATTACAAACGGTATATCCATGTATTTATAAAATGTAACGCTTAGCGATTAACGGATTATTTTTTTATATATATTAACAGTTATATAAAACAGTACTGTATTTATTTGTCGTGTATTAATGTATTAAATGTTTTTATTTTATTTTATGATTTTGTTTTGTCGTATCTAATTTAAATCCGATGATCACTTTCATTTGAACGATTATATATATTATTTATTAGTATATATATATATATATTTAGTGATTGATATTTATAAACATTTAGTTTGTCAGTTATTATATAATATATAAACATTAAGTTACATACAGTATATTGTGCCAAAAAAATATTTTGTTTTAAAAAATAAGTTATATCAATAATTATCAATATAGCTGATAATTAAAGTAATTATTTATATATAACTGATAATTGTATTATATAATACATATTATGATAAATATGATAATTTATTTATAGTATATTATTGATTAAATAATTTTTTTGTAGTTTATATTTAATTACTATTCAAATCTAATAATATTATATTATAATACACATAACATACATAATTATATTACTTATTTTATTTATATTTTATATTACGCTAAATATTTTATAATATTATTAGAAGATTACTACAGATTGTACTGTTATTATAAATAATATAAACAATAAGTTAAATAATCGATATTTATATATATTATTATTATTACTTGAAAAAAATTATATTAAATGGTACTAGGTGATATTAAATAAATATAATTTTTTTACATTATATTATTAACTGAATAAATCGGAAAATTTATTTGAGATACACTATTCTCTCTAAACTCTTTCACAATATAATTGATTGCTTTCTCTCTAAAGAAATTATTATATTTTGATGATTAATATCGCTTTATATAAGTTATATAAGTTATATAAAATTTATATATCATTTACAATACATATACCAATATATGATATACTGGTATAAATAGTATCGGTTTTCCCCATATATTCTCATATTTCCGATACAATAATGAATTGCTGGTTGTATTTAATGAATTTCACTCCAGGTTTTCCATTAATAGTACTAAAGTATTATTATTATTATTATTATTATTATTAGTAGTAGTAGTAGTAGTAGTAGTAGTAAAAATAATAATAATAAATATACCTTTTATATTTTAATTGATTTCATTAAACTAGATGAACCCTGATGATTGTTCATATAATGATCTTATATAATATACTGTATATATATATATATAAACCATACATTATACCTCTATTTTGTAGTAGTTATATAAAAGTTATATTATTTAGGATATAATGATTGGTACGATACTAGTATTTTTAAATGATCTAACACTTAGTAGGTATGTTATACTACTATCTATAGTATAGTATAGTGTCCACTGAGATCACTGACACTTTTAATTTAGGTAAAAGTATTTTTTTTCATATTGTTGTCGTCTATAGTATCATATATTGTCTCTCATTTGATGAACCACTTTAAGTGGTTTGGTTTTTTGGTGGTGTGACTCATCTCATCTCATCAAAAGTCATAACCAATCGATTGACCATTGAATTAGACTTTTATATATATATATATATATACAGAATATCAATGTATATCAATAACAACAACAACAAAATCAAACTATTTATAGTTTTCACAGTTTATTCACACATTTTTTCTGTTGAACTAAAAAAAACTATTTTCTAACCCAAGAAAAAATGTCATCAAAATAGTGACATTTTTTAAGGCAATTTCCAAACCAAATACACATAAACTTTGAAATTTGTTATTAAAATTCTCAAATAATAATAATAAATATTTCACTTTCATTGACTATTACTTAAAAAAATGTAATTTAAAGTCAACTTTCCGACAACGAAAAATAAAAATGTCTAACAATTGAAAATATTTGATTTTTAACTTATTATTATTTATTTTTAAAAAATAAATAATAATAATATTAGGAGAAGAATACTGGAAAATATGTTTTTTTTCGACTAAAGATTTTTGTTGAACAATAATTTTTCAAATATTTTTTTGTTGCTCTCTTTCTCTGTTGTTATACACGATTTAAAGTTAAAACTTTTTTCTCTTAAAACCATTTAAATGATTTAATGTTTTTCTTTTGGTTGACATTAAATGCAATAAATTGTTTGCCAATTTTCTTAATTTCTCTCTCTCTCTCTCTCTCTCTCTCTGTCAATATTTAGTGCACGATTTTTTGCGATTTATATATATAGTACAAATGAAGAGAGAGAGAGAGAGAGAGAGAGAGAGAGAGAGACTTAAGTATTTCCAAACGATTTAATATTTGGCTTCAAATATATATATCTCTCTTAATTTGTTGACTCAATTCATTCATTTTTATTGCCAATTAGTTTCTACTACTAATTTTGTTGTTTTTTTTGTTGCTAACTCTGATTTGACAAAAACAAGTTTTTTTTATAATAAAAAAAATTAAATTAAAATATTTAGTATTTCTCATTTTTATAATTTCAAATAAAATACTGTATAAAAAACACCCAAACATGGTATAGAATTGCAAGTTATATAACAAAACAGTATTAATATTGTAATATTATACTGTAATTGTTTTTAGCCCTCAATCTTATAATTGGTGTCTCATAGGCTAAGAGAGAGAGAGAGAAAATTGAAAACATGTCTAATAAGTAAATATTTTGCATATCATTTGCATTGAAAGGGATGCACCAAATGTTGAGTACCGGTTAATATGTGTGTGTGTTAGGTATATATATACAGTATATGATAAAGAAAAAGTAATGAATAATTTTGTATATGTATTACAATATACAGTATATATATATATATATATATTCAATTTCAAATGAATTTTAATGAATCTTTTTTTCCTATCTATCTCTTGGTTACCAATTTTAGATACACTTAATTTATATACAAATTTCTAGGTTTTATATGATTGAGAATTCTGTATAAAACAGTAAACAATATATATTTGCTATACTTATTAGAAAAAACGAGTGACAAATAACATATAAAACTTTGAGATATATATATATTGAAAGACATTTAATTAATTCAGTGAAAGAATTTTTTTTTATTATTATAATTGAATACAACTTTTGTGTAAATATTATTGCAAACAATTTTAATATATGTTTCACTTGTATTGAATTTTAGTTTTTTTAAATGTATTTTTTGTGAATAATTTTTACTATGCAACAAAAAAAAACAAAAAGTCTAAATTTCAATGACAGATTTTTAAAAAAATTTATTTCTAAGTCTATTTTACAATAACAACAAAATTGTTAATTTATTTTATTTTTAAAATAAACTGTCTTTTGATTTAATTGCCAAATAAACAAATATGTTTGTCGTTGTTGTCGTAGTCGGAAAATACGTGTCCTGTAACTGATCCGAGAGATCTATACATAAGTTATTACATTTTTGCATTTTGTTTAAATAAAAGTTTAGTAGTCATATACAGTAATAGTAATACTAATAATGATGATAAATATTTTTTTTTAATAAATATAATATATACAAAAATATATATTAAGTGTCTAACTTTAGTGATAGTCACGTCAAACTAAATTTTTAGCCATTAATTAGTTAATAGGATTTTTTTAAATAGTATATACAGTACAGTATAATGTAGTAATAATAATATGTTTAATTATTCTGGTCAACGATTACAAACAAATTTATAAATGAAATTACTTTATAATATATTTTAGTAAATATGTATATTAAATGTTAATGTTATATATAAATATTATAAATTTTGTTTATTCATAAAATATTATGTTTTATTAGTGAAATATACAGTATATATATTTATATTTATATATATATTGAATGGACGCACCGTTTTATGACATTTTGTATTTGAAATATTAGTGAAGAGCACAGAATCGTTGTGTAAAAACACAACCATTTTAGACAACTATTTAATACATATCTCTCTCTCTATGGCATTGCGTATATGTATTATACAGTATTAGTATATCTATCTATACCGGTATATACACAATATTTTATATATATTTTACGGCTGCTATTGTGTAAACCTATCAGAGCTCATGAATTGTCTTTACTGTTGTATTTTTTTGTGTACATATATATTGTATTTATAGATAAATGTTATTATTCACTGTATTTGAAGCGAAAATACACTAAAGAATATACATATAAATTATATACCGTATATCAACTGTACTTATTATATAATATAAAATTGTATAAATATATATCACTATAAAATATATTTTTATATATTAATATTTATATATATATATTTATTTATGTTGCTTCTAGGCTATATAATATAAGATTTTTTTTGTGTAAAGGTATACATTAAGTTTTTAGCTAAATAAAATTTATATATAAGAAAAAAAACATTATATATATACACAGTATATATATTTAGTTTTCATAGCTTTTATAATAAATACTGCATACAAATCGTTTGATTACACACTAACATATTTTTTTGGGTTTCTCTATTTAATAATATAATTTTAAAAATTTAGATAACTTTTTATTTTTTCTTAGTTTACATAAAATAATAAGAAAAAGAAAACATAAAATTAATTTTGACGATAATTTTATTCATTCAGTATTTTTCTATATTTATATACAGTATATATATATATATATATATATTTAAACTAAATATAATTTTATTTTTGTAACTTTCTGTTACTATTATTATTATTATTATTATTATTATTATTATTATTATTATTATTATTATTATTATTATTTGAGTTCATTTACGTTGAAATGACATGAAATGAGAACTGAATTCTTAAACAAAAACACTCACAAGTCTTCATCGGATTCTTTTAGTTATTATTTTT